CAGTGTTGCCAACTAATTTTCAGAGGAAGTTGCTAAAGGAAGGTTGATTTGTTGCTAAAAGTTGCTAAATGGCGTTGTGATGTCATTGCGTGATGACGTCATTATGCAATCATGACGCAAAATTGTCACTACATCGAATCTCAGCAAAAAAATAAAACCTATATATATATATATATGTTAATTTATATTTGTTTGTAAAATAATATAAATGCTTAATATAATATTAAAATATAAATAACTATTTTTAAATACAACATTGAATTATTCAGTACTTACCCTACACATTTTTGTACGATTACAATTTAAGTGTATTATTATGATTTTTATTATTACTAGTTTGTAAACTAGTAAAACTATACATTCTGAACAATTACAATTTTAAGCAGTGTATTGGTAGTTAGTATGCTACAATCTAAAAGTCTGTATAGGGGCACAATCTACTATGTTAATGTAGAGGAATTTTCTGAATTGATTATTTACAGTTGTTGTCACAGCAATTTCAATTACGCATTGTATTTAGTGTTTTCAGGTTACAACGGATAATGGATAATGTCCTGAAAAAATGACTAACTTTTCGATTTTTCTAGATTTTTTTTTTTTTACAGTGTACCAACAATCACAGGTACAAGCTACTAACAAGGTGTCATAAATGAACAATTATTCAATTATTAAATTATTCAGTTGTTATTATTATTATTATTATTAAATTGAACAATTGTAAATAGCAGCTAACTTAATTCATGTGAGACGTGTACTGCTAGTCATCTTTGGTTTCCTCTTTTTGTGTAATTTATATATTTTTTAAAAGTGTCCCTTTTATTGTTTAAGTCACTTATCAAAAGTTGCTCAAAGTTGCCAAATACATTTTAAAAATAGCTACATTTGTTGCTAGGCGCTTTTGGAAGAAAAAGTTGCTAGGGTAGTATGAAAAGTTGCTAAATCTAGCAACAAAATTGCTAAATTGGCAACACTGTGTGTGCAGTTTCACATGATTAGTGCAAATTGTCACATGACCAGAGCAGTTTATTTCCAGTTTGCACTTTGCACCTTGAGAAGATGATAACTGCATCAAAGCTCCAAAACAAAAGGCTAGTAAAATATGTTAACATAAAGATATGACAAAGATTTTTGGTACACATCTTTAAGGTGTCTAGTATTAATATATGCATTCACATATATTCAGATTTGTTGAGTGTGGTCATAGAATGAGTAAACATGTTGATGGTCACAATAGTGGCCGGTGGGATAACAGTGAACTTAGGTTTACAATATAAATCCAATTGCAGTTGTTAGTGAAAATTACACTAAAATGCTGCAATGACAAAATAGTGCACTGAATTAAAAATTCAAATGTTTCAAAAAATTTACAATATTGATGTTGTAATACTGGTAGCACTAATATACAAATTTGATGTTATATTTTACAAAAAAGTAACAATTTTGAAATGCGTTGATGGTTGGATTTTTATGTTTTTTATCTCAGTATTCCTATCAATGTTGCATAACGTTTTTTTATGCATTTATGCATAAACCTTAGAATGTGATCAAACAGTTTAAAATAGCTGGGCTTAGATATATAACAATTTTTATGACTGCAGAACTGCAGAAATTCAGTACTAACCTTATCCCACCGGTCACAATTGTGACCGACCATAAAACACAATTTTTCACACACTTTTCCAAAACAAAATCAAAAAAATAATTATTGATTATTTCAAAGGGTTACTAATGACACATCATTTGGATATTTTCATGTCTGGGAAAAATTTGGAATTAATGTTTACTGGCCTCTAGTGGTCAAATGACGCTACTTCAAGTCATGTCTTTCTATTGTTATTATAAATTATACCGCATACAACTATATTGCAAACGTTTAAAAAAATAAGTTACACGCTTAAGTTATAAAAAGGGTAAAGTTTGAAAACAACAATGACCCGATTGTAAATGTGCACAATCAATTGATCCGATTGGTCCTCATTCTTGCATTTATTTGCATACTGAATTGTGATTGGCTTTTTTTTTAAACTTTTTTAATGTTCAGAAAATTTTCATAAGGTGAAACAAAATATTACATACTGGGTTTTTTTTGTCAGTTTATTTTATGGCAACTCTGTTAACCAACAACCCCTACTTAATCTACAAATGCAGTTTTATACCGATTTGTGTGGTTTTGATTTTTAAACAAAAATAATAAAAAATGGAGAAAGTTTATACAATTAAAAATGTTTAAATATACAGTTGAGAAGGTCAAATCACTTTTTATTATTAAAATCTTTAAACACCATGTTTACATTTTTCTATTTGCCAAGCTTTAAAATATTTTATCAGGTAGAAATTGTGAATAACAAAATACTGAAAAAATCACCATGCTTAAGCCTTATCCAGTAAATCACGAACGATTGGACAAGTAATGTATATTCATTGGTTAAAAAAAAAAGAAATTAATTATCAGGTATCCACTGCTAGATAGTAAGTTATTAGGAAATGGTATTTTCATACTTTAGCACAAAAGACCAGAGAAAACAAGTCTTTAATAAACAGAAATCTAACATAAATTCAAGAATGACACAAAACAATAATGTGTTTTAACAAGACTTTAAAAACCGCAATACAGCATCACATTTTTCAGTGCTATTATTGGTTCAATACAGATACACCAGCTATAATAACAGGTAACACGCTGACAACATTTAAGTGAAACAGCATTTACTGTCATTTTTTTCCCAATCTGAATAAAGTTATACAGCAATATCTTACATACATCACCCACATTTGTGGAGATTCACAGTACTTTTTATATCAATCAGAGGTGTACCTTAAATGCACACACAATGGCTTAAATATACTTTATGCGATATCCTGCTTTGTGTAATATGTATATTGATCTACAATGAAAAGTAAACGAAGAATAGTAAATCCCTGATCCTCATTTAAAGATGATCATTCAACACAAGGCACTTTTGGAGTGTGAAGACAAAACATGATATTTGTCCCTTATTAGAAGGCTTAGCTCCTAGAAGTCAAAAGAGCATGATCTTAGCAGAATAAAAGTGTGAAAATCACAAAACCATAATTCATGATCCATGTTCTTCTCTGTCTAGTCATTATTGCCGATATACAATCAGTTAAAAAAATTTTTGTTTCATTTCCACTTTAAGTTGCTCAGGTAATTATGTGTGTTACAAGTTAAGAAAAGAGAAAAAAAATAAATAAAATAAAAAATCAAGTCATTTTCACTGAACGGGCTTAAGGATTTTTTTTTTTCTCAGTGGCTTTGAAGGAGACACAATGATGTCATCCGAGTCGTCCGAGTCGATGGTCTTTGGAATTTCATTGCCTGGTTGATGTTGGTGGATCTTCAGGTCTGCTTAATAACAACAAAATCATACATTTTATTACATTAAATAGATTAAAGAATATTCTGTATGCATAATGGTAGTTTATCAGAGATTATTTAAAGGGGTCATATGATGCGATTTCAAGTTTTCCTTTCTCTTTGGAGTGTTACAAGCTCTTGGTGCATAAAGAAGATCTGTAAAGTTGCAAAGACTAAAGTCTCAAATCCAAAGAGATATTCTTTATAAGAGTTAAGAGTCAGCCACGCCTACCTAAAACGGCTCGTTCTAACACGCCCCCACATATCTACCTCACTATGTGGGAAGATTTGCATAACGCCGCCCAAATGTTCACGCAAAGAAAGAAGGCGTAACTTTTATTCTCGCTGTAGTATTGGTGCCGCTGCCGCCTTGTCCTGAAGAGCTGTGTGTTTCGTTGTGAAAGCGAAACTACTTTGTTTCGCCTTCCAAAAGAGGATGATATCCGCTTCGTCATGCCTAGAGCTGATC